TCAAATGACATTACTTACCATAAACATAACCCACACATGCCTGCTCCACTGCTGAATAAGGAATCCCAGCATCAGCTAAAGCCTTCTGGCCTAAAAAAAAAAGTTTAAAAGTTGAAGAAAAAAAAAAAGCAGTTCTCACAACCATAACAAGCAAACCTAGAGCAGCATGTATGAGTCATGCATTCACACACAAGAAAAAGACAGAGCTATAAAAATTCCTAAATTCCTTATTACATGATGCGAATGGTGAACACAGTCCTGCATCTTAATTCTCCTAAGGACAATTTTGCAGTATTTTGAGTTCTGAACAAGGTCCTTTATCAGAAAATTTCATGCAATCAATTCTGCGTTCATGCACAAAGGTTGTTTGTCCCAATGAAAGTATGTTTGATTAATGCAGGTAGCTGTAAAATTATTTAAGTGTCCAATTCAATTTTAAGCTATCCTTTTGACTTCAGTATTGGAACACAGTGAGTTGAACTCACAGTTAATAGGTCAGTTATGGATTTTGTGAAAGTATTCTTGTTTTACCAGTTTTTGATTCACTTTTTGTATGTATCTATTTACTGAACAGTAGCTGTTCCTTCATATGTATAACAAAAAGATTAACTGTAAGACTTAAAATAAGCATCAGCAATCAAACTAAATGCTTCCTTTATTATTATTAAATATATATAATATATAAATAATAAATGTCTTTATTATTAAATTACCTGCCTCCTTAGCCATGTCAGGATAATCAAGGCTCTTCTCATTAGGCTTTGCAAACTGATAAGGGAAAAAGAAACAGAAAAAAAAACCCCACAAGAATAAGTCATAGTGAGATTTAATACCTCTTTTGCTTGAATTGGAATATTTAAAAGCTTGTATTTCACTTAGAAACAGGTTTGTGAACAATCAGTGTTAAATAATGCAAACAATTTAATTTAATCGACCCAAAAGTGCATGCATAAAATCTGCACAATTCCCAAGTGCTACTGCCAGACCCCGTGATGGCTAAAACAATAAAATAGTGCAATTTCATGGAAGCTGAGGATCATTTTCGCTCAATCTTAAAGAAGATCCATGACTTGAGACAGACAATAATCCTGTCCAAAGCCTGTGGGTGGGACAGAGAATAACTATCACCTTCTCTGATTCATTATAATACATGACATAACCTTCACTAAGGCTTTGATAAATACTTCCCTCCCACTTTATTTGATTTATTCCTATTTGTAACAAGAAAGTGCTTATTCTTTGTATGGAACTTAATTCTACAGAAGCCTCCCTTTCCCAAGCCTTATTCCACTTTGCTACAAATCCTATCATGCCTTACCCCACACCACTGGAGTAGAGGTGTTATTTCTATTTTCTTTGTAGAACAACTCATTGGAGTCCACCAAATATGTGGACTTTTGCACTTTTACATCATTAACAAAAAGTGTCACTGCTAAAAAACAAATCCTCATACCAGCTACTTACAGTTCTACAAATTATTTGACGTTCACTGTTAGTATACAAAAGTTAATTTGCTACCTCCTTATGCTTACCTCCCCAACTCCAGTCTTTCGCAACACTTAGCTGTACTTTCTGTAGTGCTTCCTTTCCTTAATTTAGACAGAGAACCTTCATACTGAAGGTGTTAAGAAAAATCAGTCAGTGATTTGATCATTGTAAAGGTCTGTCAGAGTGATTGACATTACTTGGGCTAACAAATAGGGAAATTTCTCAATCACGCTGAACTTCTGCAAATGAAAGGCATGGTCTCTGGAACCAACAATTACACACGTAGGAAACACGGATTGTTGTTTTGAGAAGACACACCATTTTTTTAATGGACATTACACCATTATGATGAAAAGAAGAGAAAGGATATAATCCTAAAAACTTCATAATAAAATGATTAAGACACAATCTGGTGTCTGACAAGTTTTCGTTGTCTCTTCCATGCTACTGTTCCTTCCTTGAGCACATGACAAATGAGTTTAAGGTGCTGTCCGGTAACTTCCAAAACTACATTCTGTGATCCAGTCCAATAAATACAATTAACAGAATGAAGTCTTCTACCTTTTATTTCTTCCCCTATCGCATCACACGCGACAGAATGAAGTCTCGTACCTCTTATTTCCTCCCTTATCACATCACGTGCTGAAGAAATACTCATGCAGCAACAAAAGTTATTCAAAAGGTGGCATTCTTGTTCTGACTACTCTGGCAAATATCAAAGCCATCTTAAGCTTCATCCACCGCGATACCCAAAGCTTCCCTTAGCTTTTGCTCCTCTTTGGAAGCCTGCCATGCTGTGTGAACTCTGCGTTGGCGGCGGAATGACGAGGCCCAGACCCGCGCCAGGACAGTACCCGTAGGGCACCTGCTGTGCTGCCGCCACCTCTCCCCGGACCCATCGCCTCCCCGGCCCTTCACAGCGAGGGGACGAGCCCTTGACCGGAGGCTGCAGTGACACGGGGACACGCTCTGGCCGTTACAAGTCTGTTACATCGACCCGCTCAACGGCGCTCCAAAAGGTTTAATTTGGCCGGTGGCGCCATCCCCCCGCGACGCACCAACCAAAGGTGAACTTTGCGCCGCTGTCGCCCAGGCCCGACCCGCCGGCCCATGCACCGCTCCCTCCTCAGACACCGACCCCGCTTCGCGAGGGGCCTTATCCC